AAAAAAGGCTTTGTTTCGAGGAGGGGTAGCAGGATAGCTAGTGGCATCAGCAAACAAAAGAGTGTAGTCGACAACCTTAGCTTTCAAAGAGGTGCCATTTTCAGAGCTACGGCAGCAGCAGTAGCTTCCTCCTTGTCATCCTCTCAAAGTCACTCGAAGAGTAAAAGAATAAGTTTAATTGAAGAAGCGCAGTCAACTTTGAAGGTAGGAGCAGTTTTGGGGTTGCAGTACCAAGGTAGAGAGAAAGAAGTTGTGAGCAAAATAGTGGAGCTAGAGAAGAATGATGTGGAAAGACTTGTAGGTGTAGTTGGGGCAAACAGAAGCTAGCTGGCTGCAATTTGGGGAAATGAGGGTGTTAAATCAGTTTAATCATGCATATTTTATCTTGGAATGTTAGAGGGTTGAGAAGGTTAGAAAAAATAAGGAAAATTAAGCAACTGGTGAGTGAAAGGAGTGTGGATGTATTATTACTACAAGAATCTAAAAGAAGTTCGGTGGATGCTAGTTTTATGAAGACTATATGGCCTTATGAAGAGATGGAGTTGATAGGAGTGGATTCAGACGGTAGTGCAAGTGGTCTTTTGTGCATTTGGAGGCCAGAGGTCTTTAAGCTTAGTGACTGTTGTTGCAGTAAGAATTTTATTCTTCTATCAGGTACATCTGGTCTTTCTTTTGAGTGTACCATAGTCAATATTTATGCCCCAAATGAGGTTGTAGGTAGGAGAAAGTTATGGGAAGTTTTGATTAATTTTTTCCCCCATTATCCAAACCCTTGGTGTGTGTGGGGGGGGGGGGATTTTAAGATTGTAAATTGATCTGGGTTGTTGATGTAATTGTGTTTGAAGCACTTAATTAATTTATTTTTTTTGTGTGTGTCTCTGTTTTTTCTGATTTTTTCAGGGTTAGGATTGATCTTCCCACCATTGAAGTCCGATAGAGGCAAACCAGGAAGAAGAAATCCAGGAATAAGAAGAAGAAGAGGAAAAAGAAAAGAAAGAGTTAAACAGAAGATAACACTCTCTCTCTCTCTCTCTCCTCATTTCAGATTGCAAATTGAATCGGAGAGAGGCATGGAGGAGGAAGAGGAGCAACAATCATTGACCCAAACCACCCCTCTCCTCGGCCTTCCACGGTGGCGCCACCGCCTCACCACTCTCCCATGGGCCACCAACCTCCGCCTCAAAACCACGATCCGGTCCGAACTTGGGGGCTCCATCGGCGACCTCACCTCTCTCATCTTCACCTCCCTCTACAACATCTCCACCGGCCTCCTTTTCGGCACCCCCATGCCCGTCCAACCCATGAAATCCATCGCCGCCGTCGCCATCTCCAAATCCCCTCACCTCACTATCCCCCAAATCGACACCGCCGGAATCTCCACCGCGTCCTCCACCTCCACCTCCATCAACAATACCCAACAAACCCATATTAACACAACTTTGCAAACTTTATTACAAGGAAGAGAGAGAGAGAGAGAGAGCGCGTAGCAGACCAGCGTTGGATTCGGAAAGAAAGAGAGACAAGAAAAAAAAACCCTCCAAAACGTCGTCGTTTTGGAGGACGACAGGAATGCGCAGCACAGAAGTGCGACCGAGGATCCGAATTCATTAAATTGATTTGATATTTTTAATAAACAATCAACATATATACACCTCAAACACCAATGAAATGCATCATCAAAATAGGCAATATGGTAGGCCCACAACTAAAAACTGGATGGTCCAGTCCTTTACCCGAGGCAAGCTGCATTCTTATTTGTTTTTATAATAGAGTAGTAGTATTAGCACTTTATGAATTATTTTGGATCTTCTATTTTTTTAGATCTTTACTTATAAATTTTGAAATTTTTAAAATTTATTTTCCCCTTCAAATAATGTCAAAATTATCTTTAAATATTCCACTCATTGAATGCATACTTTCCACACCTCAAAAAAATCTCCCTTCCAAAAAATCCTAACAAAACCTACTAAGAAGAAGAATAGTTTCATCATTTTCAAAACCCAAGAAGAAGAATATTGTCTCTGATGGTTTAACCATTGTCACAATTGGTATGCGCGCGCTCTCTCTCTCTCTCTCTCGCATTGCTTCTTCAAAACTAATATTACAGTACTTGAAAAAATAAAATTTCTACGAGAGTAAGAATTTTAACTGTTGAAAGTGTTAACAAATTTCTATGTTCAGACCTGTATTCCCAAACAAATAATATATGTTTAGAAATGTGTTCACGAACAAATAAGTAATGTTCGGGCTTGTATTCACGAATTTAAAAAAATGAAAACTTCTGTAGGCGTTAATAGTTTTGACCGTTCAATGTGTTAAAAAATTTTCATATTCGGACCTACATTCCCGAACATTACTTCTTTGTTCGGGATAATATTCCTGAACAAATAAGTAATATTTGGGCCTGTATTTCTAACTTGAAAAAAATGAAAACTTCTGCAAGCATTAACAATTTTGATCGTTTAATGTGTTAAGAAATTTTCATATTTTGACCGTTCAATGTAATTAATTAAATGGTTGCAACTGTTGCTGCCGAAATATTACCGCCAAATGGTTTTTAAGGTTTTGAGGGTGAATAGGTTTTGAAGGTAAGATTTGAGAAAGATGAATGGGTGGTGATGGAGGTGGGTGCTCTCATAAACCCTAATTCATGATCTAGTTGGTGTGTAGGTTTAATTGTGAGATGTGGTGCCTCAAAATTAATGATATCCTTTGTAGTAATTTTATTTAAGGTTATTATTGTAATAAAAAAAAGAGCTAAAAATTGGGGGGTTCAAAATAATTTATGAGGTGCTAATAATAGCACTCTTATAATAAATGCATATAAAAAAATATGCGAGAGAAGTATAAAATTACCCGAATGCCCCTCTACGATGGTAGCATGCAAAGCTGTTTGGCCATCTGACCCGCCATAAGCGGAAGAACAAGCTGCCATGAGTATGCGCTTCACAATTGTCAGCATTCCATCTCTAGCAGCCAGATACAACGGGGACTCACCCGTGTTGTTCTCGAAACAGGCCAGCCCAGGATCAACCTTTATCAAAAACTCAGCCACTCTGAGATTATGGTTCCTCACAGCCTCATGCAAAACTGTGTTGCCCCACTTATTTCTCATCCTTAGAATCGCAATCCCTCTGTTTCCTCTGTTTACAATGTCTTTACACGATGAAGATAGCATCTCTTCGATCAGAAAACCAACAATGGAGATGCGGTCAGCTCTTGCAGCAACATGTAGAGGCGTGTCCCCATCCAAGTTCGGCTGAGCGAGGAGAGACTGTTGTCGATTGTAAATCTCAGCAACAACGTTTTTGTGTCCAAATTGTGTGGCGATATGAAGTGGTGTGTTTTCATGAGGCGTTAGTTTTAGAAGTAGGCTTGGATTTTCATTGAGGAGTTGTTTGCAGTGAAGAATGTCTCCTGATTTTGCAGAGTTGTATAGTCTCTGATCCATGGTGGGTTTTCTAGGAAGCCACTTACATTTGGTTTCATGTTGGGTTCGTTTAATTTAAGTTTGCTTTAATTGCTTATGTGTAAAATGTGAATGCGTTGACCCCTTAGGGTTTAGTGTTTTTTATTTTTGCTATCTGCTCTGATGTAACATATTCAACAAGTTGGTGCAATGAAATCCATATCGAACCCATTAACAGTAGTCGATATGCTATGTAATAGTATTATCAATTAATAAAAAAATATATATTGTGATAGTAGAGATTATAATGGTTGCAAGAGATAAATTTTTCATATTAACCCGTTTACTTTTCATAATCGGAACTAACGAGGGGTACACGTGATACGTGTAATTAAGAGAACTAATAATAAAAATAAAGAATAAAGAATTTAATATCATAATATGTATGTTGCTTAAAGATCTTAAATTCAAAATTTACTTATGCTATGTATAATAATTTTTTTATTTATAAAATTACCGTGTGCCATGAGGAGAATAAGGTTTACTAAACTATTTTAGCCGTCACTTAATAATAATATAGATATAGATAGATATAGATGTTTGTCAAAAGTCCTCAGCAGTATACTTTCTGGTATTCAAACTAATTCAATATCAAAAGTTTTGACCTGTGAGACTTTGAGGCCATGTGTTATTTTTGATTCATTCAAAGATTTATTTTTTTCAAAGGTGGAGTTAATTTGAACACGACGCTTAACTGAAGAATGTCCAATTCCAGTCAAAATGCAAATTTGACAAAACAGCGTTAGGCAAACCCCAAATATGGGACGGCATTCACATTTGTGGTTTAGAATATCTGTTTGTTACTATAGTCTGTATTTGTTAAAATAAATGCAAAAATAAAATTCAACATTATGTCTATTTTTTAGAGAAGAGAAAATATACCACCCGTATCCTATTTTTTAAGTCAGTCAAATTATTGTGTTCATATTGGATCATATTTGATATGTTGTTTATGCACTTAGTGTTAACGTGACATTTATAACTCTTTTAAAAAATATATAATCATATTATTTTTTAAAATAATATTTTCACATGATTATATTTTTAAAAATAACAATGGGTTGGAATAAACAGAGATGCAATAAAAATTGAGAGAATAAGTAGAGATGGAGACCTCAAAACAGCAGAAAATCCCTTTTGCCTAGCAATGGAGGCTAAGTTAGATGTAGAGAGCGAAAATAAAAATAGACAAAATACCTCTTATGATGTAGAGTGTACGGGGACGAAATATCCTCTGCTTTCCGTACTCCTTGTACTCCAAGCTTCTCCTGACGACGTCTACCTAGCAACACAGAAACGATGAGCTGCCCGGTGGTGGTGTGCCAGATAAACCCTCCGACGATCAAGTCAGTCCACTTGAAGAAGAAGACTGTTGGAGAGAGAGTATTCTTTTTGGGGAAGAATTTGCATACCTCTAACGTTCGTCCTCCTCCATATTTCAAGGCTGGCCATGCAGCCTCAAGATTATGCGCGCACTACCTCTGTTGTCCTTCCCAGGACAGGTGGCAGTGATCGCCTCTCACCACCTTATGCGTGTAAAGGCTTAGTCCTCCCACCAGTACACGCAGAACTGTCCAACGGTATTGGCGCATGCTTGGAGCAGATTTCCTCTATCCCTCACGCCATTGGTCCAGGTGGCACACTCGACCAGAATACCACAACCGGCCTATCACTTGTGGAGAGTTGCCATCACATGCACTCAACCGAGCTATACACCACCGGACTGTCCCTTGCGAAGGGGCCAAAGGGCGATAGTCAAAGCCAAGCTGACATTGATCGGTTCATTAGGCTAACCGGTTGTGAGGTATGCCAGCCTCCACCCGTCCTACCTTTATTCTCGGTCACACGAAGCCCACTTATCTCGGCTGGTCAGTCAGAAGCGTGCCAGCCCTAACCGCGTCCACAGTCTAGCCCAAGTTGCTCTTAGCTTGGTCATCAGACACTGCTACGCGCTCGGCCGCGTTATAGCTCAGCCAGGCATTGGTTCGTGTCTGGCCAGTCTTCTGCTCAGCGGCGTGCGGTTCGTCATGATCGGCGTTATCGTAGCTCGGCCGTACTAACGCGCAAATCTCGCGTCTCAATTGCCCCTTAACCCCATCCGACCTAGTCTTGATTGGGTTTACCATCGTGACCGAGCTAACGGATGAGTTGCGCCATCACCAAGCCGAGCATGATTGGGGGCATATCTATCGCCGAGTTGTCCCGTTTGGTCGGCCATTTTCTCCGCAGTCTCATCAAAGGTCGTACAGCCGTACTGACAGTCGCGTTTCCAGTGCCATGTGGCTTCACGCCATTGGGTTGTGCAGCCAGCTGTCCTGCACGCGCAGAATTCAAACGGCACAGCCGTTTGGGGTTCGTTCCCCCCTTTTTTGTATTCCAACGAAGGGCCTACAACCCTTCACTTTTCACCTTCTCTTCCATACAAACCCTAAACCTCTCAAACCTTCGAACCCCCAAGACCACTGCCATTACTGTCTCAGTGCTACATCCTCTATTTCAGATCCTTTCGAAGGCCGCAATCGAGCTCTCGAGGTTGCGTTCACCCTCGCATCTGTCCCCCCGGTAAGCTACACTACCCTCCCTTGCATTTTCTGTTTTCTATTTCTCAAAATTCTTTATGCATGTTCTTCGTGTTTTTTTTTTTTGTTTGTGACCACCAGTGCCCCCTTTCTTTGCTTAGAACCTGCACACCCTAGGGCAAATGGGAACTTTGAGAATGGAAGGGGCCTCTGAGCCCCCTGTTCCTCCTTGGTTCAAATGAGTTCGCCCCACTTCTGGGATGAACAGTTTAAATCTGGGTAGAACCGAGCTAAACGCTCATTTAGATCCATAGGTAGAGCTATAGCCGAGCAAAAACTGGTTTGTGGCTTCTTACCGAGGTCGTAACCGAGCTGAATACTCTAATTAGATTGGTAAATAGGAACGCACCGAGCTGAATACCTTAACCGAGCTGAATACTCCATTAGATCTGCAAATAGGAATGAACCGAGCTAGGAAATCGACCAAGTGGTCTAGCCGAGATAGGGGTCAGGCCGGTAAAACACCAAAAACCCTTCACGTAGCTATTTCCAATAGAAGCCGTGGAATTTATGCCGCGCTAACCCTTGGCCTCATTTTTTAACAATGCAGAACGAACTAGGACCGATCAGTTTAGTCAAGAACCATCACTGGTGGAGCTCAAAGACCGAGCAATTACACCAAACATTTTTTTCCGAGGTACAAGTTAGTTCACCAAATAAAACCGAGGTAGATGGGCAAGTACCGATTCATGGTGAGCTCGCCCGGTGTGATGGCCGAGTTTCGTAGGGAGTACAACATCCCAGATGACGTCGTCTTAGAGCTCGCCAAAAAGGGAGACACCCCTTGGGGGGATCTAGATCGGTGCCCCTTTACCGTCGTATCAATAGTAGAGGGAGGGCTCCGCTTCCCGGTTCAACCCTTGATCTGTGAATTTTTGAGGCAGACAAGGCTTTGCCCGACCCAAGTTTCAAATAACACTTACAAAATAATAAACGGGGTCGCCGAGCTGAACCGGAGGCTCGGTCTCAATCTCGGTTTGGCCAAAATTTTCCATCAATATAGTCTAAGTAGAAACAAGAGTGGGCTTTGCTGGTACATCAAAGTCAAGAAAGGCCGAGCAAAGCTAATAGAGGGCAACCCGGACAAGGAGACCAACGACGACGACTTCTTGTGGGTGTCCGGTGGCTATGAGGACACCGAGGCACCCATACCGGGATGGTATATTAGAAAGGATTTTGGCAGTGCTGGTGAGTCGCTCGGCTAACCGCGCTATTTTCTTTATGCATCAATTACTTTCCATGTCAATCTAACACTTGTCTTCTTTTTGCAGATAAACACCTAGCAGCAGACTACTACCGGGCCAACCAAGAGGCCATCAGAGTCCTGCTGTGCCATCCTGCCGAGGAGAGGGAGGCCTCGAAACTGCTCAGCTTCGAACAGACCTAACACTACACCGCACTGCGCAAGAGCCGGGTTACCGATTTTCTGCATGCACCAACCCCAGAACCAGATCCAAACCTACCACCGATCAGGCTTGTTCCACTCACTGCCGAGCGGGAAATGGCGAAAATCAGGGCCATCAAGTCCATGATCACCGGGGAAGAAGACGAGTCCCAGAAACCAAAGGCAACCGGGGGGACATCCTCCACACCCACCGGGCAACAAGAAGGGGCAGTACTGGCGCTCGCCAGCGAGCAACCGGCTGGTCGGTCCAAGAAGCGGCCGAGGAAAAAGCAAACCGGGCCGCGTCTGGCCGATGAAGACTGTACCGATGGCGTCTCCACCGAGCTCGGGGACCAGACCGAGCAACCACAGACCGGCAAGTCCAAGGGCCCAGCCACCCCCCCGGTCTGGGCGCCCAAGTTCAAATACCAAGGCCGAGCAGTTTCTGCTGGAGACTCCGTCTACGCGAACAAGGACTACTCGTTTGGTTTCAATTTGACCAAGGGGTTGATCTTGCTCGCTGACATGAAAAAACACGACGAGCTTTCCGACCTCAAGGTCCTCCGCTCGGCGGCGAAATCCATAGTGCTGGTAAGTTCTCCATTTTTTTACGTCAAACTTTTTGCTCGATTTTTGCTCAGTTCACCGGATACTGACCATCTCACGCTTGTTTTCAGGCCGCGCAAAAGAACTATTTGGCCCACGACCGCATGATCAAGGTGCGACAGAGCCTGCGGGATGCAATAGCAGAGAACAAGGCCCAAAAGGTCGAGATAGCGAAGCTTAAGTCCACGCAGGAAGTGGTTGAGGCCGAACGAGATAACCTGGGCCAAAAGGTTGATCGAGCTGAAGCGGACAAACAGCGGGCCGTGAAGTCGACCAAAGCCTGGTATCTCGCCGAGCTGAGGAAGCTGCGCGATGCCCATAAAGAGGAGAAAGATAAGGCGGTTAGCGACGCCGAAGACAAGGGCTATGCTCAAGGCGAAAGAACGTATGAACGGCAGGTGCAGGCGACCAAGGACATCTTTTTCCAGTGCGGCTGGAAAGCTGCCGTGGAGAAAGTTGGCCTTGGTCAGGATGCTGACATGTTCCTATATCAGCTTCCGGCCTTCATACCGCACTATATGCAGGCCTATGCGAGCGCCGCGCAGAAGAGGCTCATAGAGGAGGCCAAAAAGGAAGCCGCGGAAGAAGCCGCCGCCGCACAACAAGCCGAGCAAACTTCTCCTGAAGCGTCTCAGGATGTTGAAGATCACGTAGCCGATCGGGAGGTTGCCGCGGTGGAGGTCGCGGATGATGAGTTGGAAGTAAGCCTGCCCGAGCACAATCTTGAGGTGGCCGAGCAGGCTCTGGAGGTCGCCGAGCCGACGGTTGATCTGGAACTGGACTGAAATGCCTCCTCTTATTTCTTACTTTATTTTCGTTTCTTGTTTTTTTTTTGTTTTTTTTGGTTTAATGTAACCGGGCTAGGGCCCCACAATTGTAACGCAATTTCGTTAATCAATGAAATTTTAACTTTTTGCCCGTTTAACTTCTATTGCTTTTTGGCGTCGACGTGCAAAATTTCCATAAATGCGTTCAAACTTCAACTAGCAGCTCGGCTCTTTTGGAATTTCAGATGCACCTTTTAAAATGCCGAGCAAAATATGCTCGGCTCGAAATTAAGGGCTCATGAACGCGGCCGAGCAAAACCCAGCTCGCCCTTTCAGTTGGGTAGATCGCCAACACTTCACTTCTGCCGAGCAATGTCAGCTCGGCTTCTCATTAGTTGGACAAAACACCAACATGCTAAATCTGGCCGAGCAAAGTCAACACGGCCGCTACATTGGGCAAAACACCAATGTTTCATTTAGGTTGGTCATGTCGCCAACATTTCTTTTCCGCCGAGCAAAGTCAGCTCGGCTTTTTATCGGCTCGTTTTCCATATTGGACAAGACACCAATACGCCGTCTGGGCCGAGGGAAATCAGCTTGGCCCTTACATTGGGCAAAACACCAATGTTTCAGTTTGGCCATGACGCCAACATTTCGACCGGGCGAGCAAAACCAGCTCGGTCCCAATGCGAATTGGTCCATACACCAATTATGTCGTTGGACAATGCAACTGTTTGTGCGGTCTGCTTCCATTCCGACAAGTGGGAATCAGTCCGGTCCCATTCAGGTCGATCCTCGTGCCCCTGGCATCCATAATTGCCTTGCGTCCTTGCGAATTCATTGTACAAAGATGTAATACCAAACAACAAGAGGGCTATTTTTCATTACAAAAGCATTGCTATCTTTTACATTAAGTGCCAAAAGGCTAAAGGTCTAGAAAAGCTAAACAACACAAGCAAATTACATCTTAAAAGTAAAAGACCTTAAGGTTGGCCGTATTCTATGGTCTGGGGACAGCCTTGCCATCTATATCTTCCAGATGGTATGCCCCTTTACCAGCAAGACCAATCACCTTGTATGGTCCTTCCCAATTTTCACTGAGCTTTCCTTCGCAAGGGACCACTGTGTTGCCAAGCACCTTTCTTATTACCCAGTCCCCAATCTTGAACAGCCTGGGGTGCATAGCCTTGTTGTACTTTTTGGAGAGTTCTTGTTGATAAGCCGCTAAGTGGATCAATGCTCGCTCCCTCCTTTCTTCAGCAAGGTCCAACTCCAATGCCACCGCATCATTATTCAGATTTGGCTAGAAACTTTCAGAGCGGATGGTTGGCATGCCAATTTCCAACGGGATGACGGCCTCCATGCCATAGGCCAAAGCAAATGGTGTTTTCCCGGTTGACCGCCTTGGCGTAGTGCAGTATGCCCAGAGCACATTAGGGAGTTCTTCAGCCCACTTGCCCTTAGCCTTCTCAAGTCGCTTCTTCAGCCCGTCCATGATGGCCTTGTTTGAGGCCTCTGCTTGACCATTTGATTGAGGATAGGCCGGCGTCGAATTATAGAACTCGATCTTCAACTCTTCGCAAAATCCGCGAAAGAGTTTATCATCAAATTGAGTGCCATTATCCGAGATGAAGGCCTTGGGTATACCGAAACGGGTGATGACGTTTTGCCATACAAACTTCTTCACGTCATTTTCCCTTATGGTCGCTAGTGGCTCGGCCTCAACCCACTTGGTGAAATAGTCGGTGGCGGCGATGGAGAACTTGCGGTTGCCCGGTGCAGCTGGGAGTGGCCCAACAATATCCAACCCCCAAAGCGCGAACGGCCAAGGACTTGTGAGAGCGAGCAAATCTCTAGCCGGCTGGTGGATCTGGTGGGCGAACTTCTGACACTTCTCGCACCTGCGAACATATTTTTGCGCATCTGCCTACATGCGCGGCCACCAATAACCCTGAGAAATTGCTCGGTAAGCCAAGGATCTGCCCCCAGTATGGCTGCCACAGATGCCCTCATGTATCTCATAGAGGAAAGGCTCTACCTTGGTGGGGTGGACACATTTCAAATACGGCCCGGTGAAAGATTTCTTGTACAAGGCCCCGGTCGGGGAGAGCCAAAACTGCTCTGACTTTGCCCGGATCTTGTGTGTCGCCTTTTTTTCTTCTGGTAGAATTCTATCTTTCAAGAAGGCGATGATAGGATCCATCTAAGAAGGGCCCAAGTCGGTGCAGAGTACCTCGGCTGATTCTGGTTCCTCAATGCTTGGCCGGGTTAAAAATTCTATCATCAAGGGGTTAGGAAAAGCTGTCTGAGCAGAAGCAAGTCCGGCCAATTCATCAGCCGCGCTGTTTTCCTCGCGGTCGATTTGTTCCATCCTTATTGCAGCGAACTTCTTGATCTTTGCGCGTACCAGCGCCTGATACTTGGCCATTCTTTCGTCCTTTGCCTCATACTCCCCTGAGACCTGATTGACCACCAACTTGGAATCACTAAATACCATAAGGGCTGTGGCTTTCATTCTCAGCACGCTTCTTAGTCCAGCAAGGAGAGCTTCATACTCAGCCTCGTTGTTGGATGCTGGGAAGCCGAGTGTAATTGCCTGCTCGATGATCAGCCCGTTTGGCGAGTTCAGCACGATGCCCAGCCTGGCCCCATGTCTGTTGGACGCCCCATCAACGAAAAGCTTCCACATCTCGCTAATAAACAGTTTCCAGCAATCAGAGGGGTTCTGGGAGCTTCTCAATTCCAAGTCTCTGGTTGGCTCATTCTGGTCTCTTTCCTCGTCTTGCGCACCAACACTTGTTTTTGTTGTCAGAACCATGGGTTGTGCTAAATCCGCGCCAACCAAATCAATTGGGCAGACTGTATGCATCCCAGGGGCAAATTCCGCCAAAAAGTCAGCAAGTGCTTGAGCCTTGATTGCGCTGCGCGGTCGGAACTTGATGTCATATTGCCCTAATTCCACGGCCCATTTCAAAATTCTCCCAGTGAAGTCTGCCTTTTCGAAAAGCACTTTGAGCGGGAACTCGGTTAACACAACTATTGTATGGGCATGAAAATAGTGTGCCAGCTTTCTTGACGCCATCATTAGGGCCAGCGCCAATTTTTCCAACGGAAGATATCTCGTTTCGACTGGGAGCAGAGTCTTGCTTACATAGAAGGTCGGTAGGTGCTGGATGCCTTCAGCACGAACCAATACCGCGTTGCCTGCGTGTTGAGAGACAGCCAAGTAGAGGTACAGCTCTTCGCCCGGCTGAGGTGTTACCAAAATAGGGGCTGAGGAGAGATATGCTTTCAGGTCTGCTAGTGCACGGTCGCACTCGTCGTCCCAGAAGAACTTGGACTTTAGAGTTTTAAAGAAGGGCCTGCAACGATCAGAAGAACGGCTGATAAATCTGTTCAACGCGGCTGCCATCCCGGCAAGATGTTGCACGTCCTTCGTGGAGTTAGGACGCTCCAGGTCTTGTATAGCCTTGATCCGTGATGGGTCAGCTTCAATCCCTCGATCTGTGACCAGAAAACCCAAAAACTTCCCGGTGCCGACTCCGAAGGCGCATTTGGAAGCATTCAAACGAAGCTTGTGGCGTTTAAGTATAGCAAACATCTCTGCTAGGTCGGAGAGGTGCTGAGCTTTCTCCTTACTTTTCACCACCATATCGTCGATGTAGGCCTCCATGGTGCGGCCCAGCATTGGGGCGAACATCTTTGTCACCATCCGTTGGAAAGTTGCCCCGGCGTTCTTTAGTCCGAACGGCATGACTTTGTAGCAATATAAGCCTCTGGGGGTTGTGAACGACGTGATCTCTTTGTTCGGTTTATACATGGCTATCTGGTGGTAGCCGCGATATGCGTCCAGGAAGCTAAACCTCTGATGGCCAGCGGTTAAGTCCACCAGCTGGTCTATTCGTGGGAGGGGAAAGCTATCCTTGGGGCAAGCTCGGTTGACGGTCTTGTAGTCAACGCAGACTCGCCACTTGCCGTTCTTCTTCGGAACAACCACCGTGTTGGATATCCACCGAGGGTATTGCACCTCCTCTATGGCCCCAGCTTCCAACAGATTCTTCACTTCTTCTGCCACTACTTCAACATGATGCAAGGCTGAGCGGCGCGTCCTTTGAATGACTGGCCGTGCATTGGGGAAGACATTCAACTGATGACAAATGAAGCTCAGGTCGATGCCAGGCATGTCGTAAGGCGTCCAGGCAAAGGCCTCCAAATTGGAAACCAAGAAGTCGACATAATCCATCCGCTCAGCGCTAGACAAGGATGATCCCAAGAGGAAGAATTTAGTTGGATCGTTCTCGTCAATGCGCACTTCCACCAAATCTTCGACCGACTTTTCCTCGGCCTTTCTTTCTACATCTTCAAGGACCTCTTTACCCTCGGGCCCTTCAATCATTTGGACGAACCCTTTGGCCGCTTGGCTGCCATTTACCGCAACAAAGCATTGTTTCGCCATCACCTGGTCCCCCCAAACTTCCTCTATTTGTCCGCTTGGTGCCGGAAAGCGTATGACTTGGTGGAAGGTCGAAGCAACTGCTTGCATGGCGTGCAGCCAACCCCTGCCTAAGATCAAGTTGTAAGTCGATGGAACTTTGAGCACCCAGAACTCTACTTGCTTTACGACCGATCCCACTTTGACCGGCAAAATAATCTTTCCGATTGGCCATTCTGGCTGTGAGTTGAAGCCGACCAAAGGGGACGTTGCGGGGGCCAAGTCCTTGTCTTCCAACTTCATTTGTTTAAACGCGTCATAATATATAATTTCAACCGAACTCTCCTGGTCGATCAAGATCCTCTTGATGTCAAAGTCTTTGACGCGAAGAGTGACTACTAAAGCATCATTGTGCGGCATCTGAACTCTTTCCAAGTCCTTGGTTGAGAATGAAAGGATGTTCCTTTCTTCGGTCTTTCCCTTCTTCACAGCGGGCTGAACAGAGAGTACCTCCCTTATGTGCTCAGCCTTCTTGATCATCCCTCTCAGCTCGCAGACCCTGGCCGGTTCAATGACGCCGTGGATGACGTTGATTACACCTTGCGGGGGCGCTTCTAGGGTGGCCAGGCCGTTTGGCTCGGCTTGGTCCGCTGGCGTAGCCTTGATGCCCCCATCTATGTATTGGTCAAGATTCCCCGCCGCCACCAACTCCTCTAAGTGTTGTTTGAGCGGCAAGCAGTCCTCTGTTCGGTGCCCCCGCTCTTCATGAAAGGTGTAGCGATATTTTGAATTGAAGCCCCTCTGCGCACTCCCCAACTTGGCCGACCAACGGACGAAGGGTTCACCTCGAATCTCGCTTAAAATGCGGTAGATGGGGATTTTAAATACCGTGGTGATTCCCGTCCGTGCCTTTAGTTTTCTTTTGGCATCCTCTGCTGCATCACGGGGAGTGTCAACCCAGTCGGTTCAGCGGCCCTTGTTTCTGTCATCACGGTTTGAACCATGGCGCTGATCTTTTGATCGATTGTTTCGGCGGTTGTCCTCCTGCCCAACCGAGTGAACTTTCCCCGCCACCCTTCTGTCCGCCGCGACCGGATTAGCCTTCTCGGTCGCGGAGGCGGCATCATCCTTCACACGAATGAGCTCATTGATCCGCTGCATCAATGACCCCATGGTTGTCGGTTGATGCATCGTGAGTGAATCTCGCAGCCTATGTCCGACTGGGAGACCCCGTTTGTATTGAGTGATCGCCAGATTGGTGGGGCAGTCGAGGATCTCATTGTAAGTTTCCCAGTATTTCGCATTGTATGCCTTCAACGAACATCCAGACTCCATCTTGACACCCAGGAAATGGTCAACCTCCTTCGGCGTTCATGTGTTGGTTTTGAATCTGGTGACGAAGGCTTCCGCTAGCTGCTGCCACCCCTCAATACTCCCCTCCGGGAGCCTTTCGAACCACTTCAAACCCAGCTCTCCCAAGCTTGCCGGGAATATGAGGCACATCAAGGCATCGTTGCGCCGGTGGCCAGCCATCACTTGCTGGTAATGGCTCACATGCATGTACGGATCCGTCTTGCCGTCGTACAAAGTGAACTTTGGCTGGTGAAATCCGGCGGGGAGTGGTGTACTCTCAATCTCTGGAGACAACGGTGTGGCTGTAAGTCGCGCCAGCTCTTTGTCCACCAGCGCAGGGGCCATCACTTTGGGGGCTGGCATCGCCACTTCCTCACTACAACGAACTGGAGCGCTCAATCTCTGTAATGCTGGCACTCTCCGAGCCTCCCGACGGCGTGCCCTCTCCTCTAATACATCCCTCAAGTCCCTGGAACGTGTGGAGAAAGAGGATCCCGACGTCGGCGTCGGGCGTGAGGGGCGGTAGGTGCTGTCACGAGAGAGGGACCTGCCCTCTCTTTGGTCAGAATCTCTAACCCCATAGTTCCTGGTGATGGAGAGAGAGTGAGTCCTCCCCTGGCGGCGACTGCTACTACGAGGGGACGGGGTGCGCTCACTGAGGTTGCCCTCTCCAGCAACACCCTTCCCTTTAATCTGGCGTTTCAGCAGCTCCATCTCCGCCGCCATCTTGCGAATGAGGGCGTCTTGGTCCTTGAGTTTGTGCTCCAGGCGCTGCGCGCGGGACTCCCCTCGGCGTCGGCGGCTCTCCGGACTCTGTGAGCGATCAGTACTCCTCCCGCGTTTGTCTCGCGCACCTCGCGAAGGAGTCTCTAGGCCCGCCATGGCTGGAATATTCGGAGGACCTTCTCTTAAGCGGGCGTACTCAGATGTGACACCATCGACGACGGACAGTGGGGCTTTGCCGTTGTTGGCCATGGAAATGGTTGAAGAAGCTCAAAGAACAAGGGTTGAGTATCAAAGACTTCCCACAGACGGCGCCAGTTGTACGGGGGCGAAATATCCTCTGCTTTCCGTACTCCTTGTACTCCAAGCTTCACTTGAGGGCGTCAACCTGGCAACACAGAAACGGTGAGCTGCCCGGCGGTGGAGTGCCGGATAAACCCTCCGACGATCAAGTCAGTCCACTTGAAGAAGAAGACTGTTGGAGAGAGAGTATTCTTTTTGGGGAAGAATTTGCATACCTCTAACGTTCGTCCTCCTCCATATTTCAAGGCTGGCCATGTAGCCTCAAGATTATGCGCGCACTACCTCTGCTGTCCTTTCCAGGACAGGTGGCAGTGCTCGCCTCTCACCACCTTACGCGTGTAAAGGCTTAGTCCTCCCACCAGTACATGCAGAACTGTCCAACGGTATTGGCGCATGCTTGGAGCAGATTTCCTCTATCCCTCACGCCATTGGTCCAGGTGGCACACTCGACTAGAATACCACGACCGGCCTATCACTTGTGGAGAGTTGCCATCACATGCACTCAACCGAGCTATGCACCGCCGGACTGTCCCTTGCGAAGGGGCCAAAGGGCGATACTCAAAGCCGAGCTGACATTGATCGGTTCATTAGGCTAACCGGTTGTGAGGTATGCCGGCCTCCACCCGTCCTACCTTTATTCTCGGTCACACGAAGCCCACTTATCTCGGCTGGTCGGTCAGAAGCGTGCCGGCCCTAACCGCGTCCACAGTCTAGCCCAAGTTGCTCTTAGCTTGGTCATCAGACACTGCTACGCGCTCGGTCGCGTTATAGGTCGGCCAGGCATTGGTTCGTGTCTGGCCGGTCTTCTGCTCGGTGGCGTGCGGTTCGTCATGATCAGCGTTATCGTAGCTCGGCCGTACTAACGCGCAAATCTCCCCTCTCACAGAGCTTGTTAGAAGAAGAAAAAACCAACTGTACTAACAAAAATGCTTTATGTGGTCTTTTTGCCTCCTCCCTTGGAGATGCTTCAACATATATAAAAGCTGGTTTCAGTTCTGCCTTAAACCAAGTGATTGGTCTTAAAACTCTCTACATTAAGATTAAGTCAAATTTTGAAGATTTAAGGAGGAGGACAAGTGGCAATGTAAGAAGGCGAAAGTTATATGAGTAGTTAGATGATGGTTAATATAAGTTTTTTCCTACATTTCTTCCTATAAATTGTCATTGATGGCTCTATTGTAAGGATCACCAGCAAATCAATACATGACTTGATTTTTTTTTTTTTTTTTTTTTCTATCTTAGGAGTAGAGCAAATCTACATAGGAGTAGTTTAAACTTAGATAGGAGTAGTCTTAATGTACTTATAACTTGATAGTTCATTCAATCATTTACATCATCATATTCCTTTTCTCTTTCTATTTTTCTTATTTGTGTTGCCATTATTTTTACTCCAATGAAGTCCTTGAATTTTCAAGGCATAGAATCTCATCACAACTACTTGATCATTGTATTATTTGGTGAGATTTTGGTTAAAGCTTTGATCTAAGCCTAACAAAAATTTTACTAAGAGAGGCATAAGCATATCATCCGTATATGACAAGCCTTTGCCCTTGAGCCAAGTCGCACTTTTAGTTGAATAATTCAAATAATAACATAAATGATGGAAGAATTTTCTCCTTTCCATAATCAATCAATCCCTGTCAATCAGTCTTAGCTCTTTGATATTTGAAAAGTACTCTAGTTTTCGATAAATTTGCAAGACTACTTCTTCATCAATTGATAAATTTGGTCTTAAACTTCTACAAAAGACAAGTATTGAACCACGTGAGATGTTTGCTTGATAGCAAAAGGGCTAACCCTTGAAGTGGTGTGTTTTCATGAGGTGTTAGTTTTAGAAGGCTTGGATTTTCATTGAGGAGTTGTTTGATGTAACGACCCTATCACGTATAATGACTAGTACTTGGATAGTTAAGAGGATTTGAAATTTAAGTGTCGATTATTATAATTTAACCTGGGATTCACGAAAAGTATGGAGATTGATTCATTTAAGGTTCTATTAAGTGTTTATTTTGGGAATTGGAAATTAAGGGTCCAAATGGTTTAAAGAAGTGAAATTAAGAAGTTGAGTCAATTTAATCTTAATTATGGACCCATTTGGGAGTTTAATTAAATATTCGTTCCAGTTTAGTAAAATTAAGGTTCAATTAATTAGATCCAAATTGGAGTTAATTAAGCTAATTAAATTATGAAGATTGAGAATTGTGATTATTACGAATTAAATTTATTTATGGGGTGTCCTATTTGAATATGTAATTTAATTGACGGAAACTTGGAGTTTGATCAGAAATTGAAGACCTAAATGATTTAAGAAACTAAAATTGAGATTGGAAATAAGTTTAATTTAATAATTGAAGCCTTTTGGGTTATGAATGAAAAATCTGATTTGGATTGATAAATTTAAATATATTTAATTAGGTTCTAATAGAAGTCAAATAGATTAATTAAATTATGAGAGATTTATGATTTGTTACAATTAATTTAATTATGTGTTAATCAGTATTTATTTAGATTAAGTGTTGCCTAATTAAGTTAATTTTAATCATGAATTGAATGGTGAAATTTGAGGGTGTATGTACTAAGCAATCTGTGTGTGTGTGCGCGCATGTGAATGATGTGTTGGTATTCAAGGGTGAGTGCACGTGTGC